GAGAGAGAGAGAGAGAGAGAGAGAGAGAGAGAGAGAGAGAGAGAGAGAGAGAGAGAGAGAGAGAGAGAGAGAGAGAGAGAGAGAGAGAGAGAGAGAGAGAGAGAGAGAGAGAGAGAGAGAGAGAGAGAGAGAGAGAGAGAGAGAGAGAGAGAGAGAGAGAGAGAGAGAGAGAGAGAGAGAGAGAGAGAGAGAGAGAGAGAGAGAGAGAGAGAGAGAGAGAGAGAGAGAGAGAGAGAGAGAGAGAGAGAGAGAGAGAGAGAGAGAGAGAGAGAGAGAGAGAGAGAGAGAGAGAGAGAGAGAGAGAGAGAGAGAGAGAGAGAGAGAGAGAGAGAGAGAGAGAGAGAGAGAGAGAGAGAGAGAGAGAGAGAGAGAGAGAGAGAGAGAGAGAGAGAGAGAGAGAGAGAGAGAGAGAGAGAGAGAGAGAGAGAGAGAGAGAGAGAGAGAGTAAATTTTGTAAAAATACAAAGTATATAACATGTGAAAAAATATAGAGTAAACTCTCTAAAAACATAAAAAATAGACTATACAAAAATATGTTGAGTATATTTGTTACATAAATCAATGTGTGAACATGGTATAATGTGTATTGCTAAACTCATATAATCAGTGCATCGATAGATTTGTCTAATATCTAATGTTAGATTTTTCTAATCAGTATATGGACACATTCATCTAATGTGTATGAACAAACTATTCTAATGTGTATTGCAAGACACATCTAATAAGAGAATGTGTAAAAAAGTTGTATTTTAACGCACCATATATGCTTCAATTTTATAAAAACCGAAGCATATAAAAACAAGGTGGCATTTATGTAGTAATAGCAAAGTTATATGCCTCGGTTCTTTGGAAATCAAAGTAGAAAGGGTCTATTGCATCGGTTATAAGAGCAACCGAGGCATAATAACATGCAAAATCTGTCAGTCAGATTGTTCATCTGATGCCTTGTTTGGAAGAGACCTAGTACCTCGATTAAGAGGGGACTCGAGGCATAAAAGCCTGTGTAAAAGTTTAATTTCCCCAAGTCTCGTTCAAACAACGTAACCTATCTCCTTCCCCTTCCCCCTTTCTTTGTCTCGTGCGAGATTTTTCACTACTTCAAGCTTCTTTCTTCTTCCTTTCTCACACATAACTTGGGAGGAACGGCGAAAGAACAACGACGACACGTTAGGGTGTGGCGAGGGCGCGACAAGGGTACAACGAGGGCAACGAAAGAACGACGACGACGCAACACAATGAGGGCTGTAGTGGCGCTGCCTCCACAAGGGTTCCATCTCCATTGTCTTTGCAATGCTAAAAGCCATGTTTAATGGAGATTAAGACGGGCTTACATTTGCAGTGTTGTGGTCTCTGTTCTCAGGTGATTTTGCGGCGTGGTGGTCTCTGTTCTCAGGTGGTTTCGTTGCAATAGAGCTCGTGATTGAATGTTTTGATTTGGGGCTTTGCAGGAACTCTTCTTCGTTTCCATAAATTTCCCTTGGTTCCAAAATTAGGGTTTTGCAGATGGGGAAAGGGGAAAAAATTCTGCCTTCTTACTCCTACGCCGCTGTGGAGAGGATGGAGGCGCGCAACTCTCTTCCATGGATAACAACTTAAGGAGTTGATGATTGAAGCTCATGGTTGTGCTTGCGAGGAAGAAAAGAACTCGTCCGTGTTAATGGAGGTAGCGCCATGAAAAGGATTTGCGATTTCTGAGTTTGGTTTTTGCGTTTTCAGGTTCCTGGCGAAGAAGTTGAATGATGGAGCGAACATTGTTTCTGTGATTATGTGTGCAGGTTGGGGTGGAGAAGATTGAATCAAGGAGGCACGATTTGCTTTCTGGTTGCGTCAATTGAGGAGGACGAACTCGCGAAGAAATCGTGAATCGTAGCGGTGTCGTTCTGGGTTCTTTTATGGTGGTCCGGTTGCGGAGCAGAAAGCATCATTGCCATTCAAAAATTGCAACCTTGGGATTGAGTTTTTGAAATTGGGAAATCTTGGGTCTCTATTTTGATCTCAGGTTGGGAAATCTTGCTTCTCTGTTTCTGAAA